TCCTGGAGATTTGGATATCATTGAGCAGTATTCTTAATTTCTAGAGCCCTCATAACATTTTTCCTCTTCTGTGTATGAATGAGTATTTCAGTGGGCAGTACTGCTTACGAGCTGGCACCTTAACCTGGAGTCTGATTTTATCATTTTCTTAAGTAATGGAAAGAGACTGTGACTGAGTTTCTTCCCCTCCCATTGTAAGAGATTTTTTTTTTTTTTTTCCAACCCAGCAGAGCCATAGGTGATGAAAGGAGCCCTGCTTTCCCAGTTTGCCCTGACTCCTGCTGCTGTCCTTCTGTTCTGGTGGGACCAGAGTTCTGGCACTGACATACTGGTTTGGGGATGGGATCCTTTTCCCTGCCATGTTTTAAGATATGAGTTGGCAGTGCCAGGAAAGGATCCTGACTCTGACTTCTTCAAACCTGTCACATCCTGAAAAGTGCCTGGGTTTTGGCCTTGGGAAAACCTGCATCCAAATTCTCCACCATTTACTAGACCTGTGACCTTGAGCAAATGACCCAAGCTCTCTGATCATGTCTCTCCATCTGTAATGTGGCAGTATAATACCCGCATGTTTTGGTCAATATGAGGCTTAGAGAAAAGCGTAAGTATTATGTTTGGAAAACACATGGCACAAAACTGGGTGCTCCATAAATGTTGATAGTGGTGCTATAATTGTCTTTATCCAAAAGTTAATTTAATAATGTCATAGTCTGGATATTCTGGTTCACTACTGAATGAAAAAAAAGTGTGAGAGTGTATTATCCATGCTAACCCCTTGCTCCTGCAACTGTGATTATCAGTCCTGTCATTGATTGCATGTGTGACTTTTGGAAAATTCCTTTCCTTTTCCATGCTTCTATTTCCTATCTGTAAAATGAGGGCACTAAACTGTATCAGGGGAACAAATAGGTTTAATCTCTTTTATCACTCCAGTCAATCAGTAGTGGGTACCTGGAAAACAGACTTAAAAAGATTCTGAGCCCTTTTCTGGGCTCAGCAGATAAGTTTGCCATGATCCATTAACAATGTCTGCAATGGATAGGGAGGCCGGTGGCAGCTATTCTGAAATTTTCCAGGCCTAGACTAGATGCTCTCCAAGGCCCTTTCAGGCTCCCTAATCCACTGATTCTTTTTCTGGGTTATCTTGATGGGCCTTTGTAGCTGGATGACATCCTATTTATCCAAATGAATATTCAGTGTCACTGGAGTGAAAAGTAGGTGTGGATAGTCCAGTCAGGAATCGAAAAGGGGAGTGGTGGATTATGGAGCTGTTTCTCTGAATGGTACAGGGGTTTCTTTGAGACCTCATTGAAATTTGAGCATAAAAAAGTAAAGCATTGTCCTCGAAAGGGCAAACAGGATGGTCGCCCGAAGTGCACGTAAACCACAGCCCAGTGATGCCATGAGGGTTGGAATATCATTTTTTTCTGGTAGATAGCACTTAGCAATGGATACACCGATGGGTCTTACCAAACTGGAAACAGTAACTTCCTGACCTGCAATAGAAAGTTATAGGTTTCCAACAGTTGTCGTATAATTACATGAATGTGTGCTACAAATAGATTATTTTAGAAATTGATTTAGCCCCTTCCTTTGATATTTAGGACTTACGACAAAGGCATCTTGTTTTGGGGGTACTTGGTTAACTTGAGCAATGAGATTTCATTTTCAGGAAACTTCAGGAAGAAATTCAGGAAGAAGCATTCTTCAGTTTCCCATTTTTGTAAGGAAAAATAAAACATTCAGTTATCCACTGGCATTTTATAATCTTAAGCACACGATTCTTCTTGCAGGGCTAGGGGTTTTTGCCTTAATTGTAAAAGCTTTTTATATATAGCTTTGATGCTACATCTTCTTTCTCCAAAATCTCTCTGGCAGGGCACATTTCCATGCCCTCCTCATTTACCTCACTACAGTTAGCTACAGTAACTATTCGTGAATATGTGATTGCTGGTGAAGCAAAAATCACCAGTCTGTAGTCATACTGTTTCACTAAAGATGATTTAAGAACCATATTTTAGATGGTTTTCTCAGAAACAATCAATACTAAACATGATTTTTGTCCACAGTGTACCCTCAGCAAGGTTCTATGATGGAAGGGCAGTTTTGTAAGAGAATCTATGACTATGACAGCAGCAATAAACAGCTGAAAATAATCTATGAGGCGTTTGCAAATTACCCTTCATGAGCTATAATGGTTGTGAAAGATAATTTGCGGTTCTTGCAGAATACCCTGCAAATTGGGTCTTTCATCTGCAATGTTTTTTACAGTTAAAACGTTTCATTTCTCATATTAACAAATGATAACTCTGCATTTGTTAATCTAAACAATTTGATTTATATTTTTCTGTGCTGAGAAGTTGTTGACATTTCAGGGTAAGTAATTATTTTCATTGCCAATTGCTGTTTGTGGTGACTGTAGGCAAAAGATAGAAATCTGAATATATGTATGCATCATTTCAATCGTTTTCCTCAGACTACCCATAAAGCAAGAAGTCTAATTTGCCTGAGTTATCATCTGAACTTAGACATCTAATAGGACATGGGTGTTGACAAATGAGGATTCTAGCCATGCTTAGGGTTTTCTGTGGTGTTTTGGAAGCTCTCTCATGTAATCACTGTGGGCGGGGGTCAGAGTTGACCTGCAGTGTCACCAAACCTCTGGCAGGGCACCATACACTTGCAGTCTTAAATCACCACAGCACATATGTCAGCAGTTCTCAGCTACTGTCATATCTGTTCAAGTACCTCATGGAGTGGCTGTCAGGAGTACACAGTGAGGACTCATGAGAACACCTCACACTGTGGCTGGTACACAGTGTGAGCTCTGGAAACATTTGGTGAAACTGGGAGGAGATACAAAAAGATCTTCTAAATTTCCTTTCTCATATTGCTTTCTTGGACAAGGATTCACAGTGCAGGGCAATGGAAAGAAAGGTTTTTTCACATGAAAAGAGTCACTGCGTCCTTAGAGCAGGATGCTCAGCCTTGCCCACTTAAGTGGCCCATGTGGCAGAGAGCAGAAGAGGTGCCAGGGCCTGGGACAGAGCTGGTGCAACTGCAGGCTTTCCCTGGGGGCTCTTTTGAGTCTACTCTTTAACGTATCCAAGTTTATTTAAATATTCAGAAAAAGACTTACCATCAAAGTTTAAACTATTTCCCCCAGAAAAATCATCTAGCAAAATCGCTGCTTTAAAAAGATGGCCTAGCTTTAGCCTATGGGTGTGTGGGGCCCAGACTAGCTGTGAAGCACCGAGGGCAGGTATAGATTGCTTCTGCAATCATTAGAGGCACATTGGTGTGAGACCTGCACAGGAGGGGGTGGTACATTCAGCCTGGTGTTCCCTATGGTCTGTTCACACTGTTGGGGAGGGCTCAAGCCATTTCCATCCCATGCACATGTGAACCTTCTATTCACATTCCAGTTAGGGAGTGGACTACTGACTTGGGATCCAAACCAATTTTTACATGGCCTGAAGGAGTGAATGTAGAGCCAGTACCCTCAATGGCAAATGTGTTTTATCCTTTGAACCAGCTCCAATTGGTTAGTTCTGGTTGCCTACAGTGCTGTCTTAAGAAAGCATCTGTGGCGCATCAGGCCCAGCTGGGAGGAGTGCTGGGATTGATTAGCGATGTCTGTTGTGGCCTCTGGAGGAACAGCTTGCCCTATATTTGCCATTCTCTGATTTTAACATGTCCTTAACTCCTCTATGCTCTCCTCCTGTGATTTTTTAATACTAACAGGTGACTGTGAGTATGAGCTGGGGCATCCTAAGAGAAAACAGGTAGATTCCACTTTGAGAAAACTTAGCATGAGAAAATACAAATTTACAAAATGCATAAATCTGGAGCCAATTATTTCCATTACAGAAAGATTCCATGAAAGGTTCCTTTAAATAGCCAGCTCCCCTACTGCATAAAAATGATGATTCAATTTACAAAAATTCACTTTGCATGCAACTCTTCAGGACTGTGTCTGTGGAGTAAAGCAAGCCATACCTGATTTTTTTTTTTTTTTTTAAACACGGCCTAAACAATGTTCAGGATGGCTGCCGCCACGTATCTTGAGTCTCTTGGTAATTCCAACTCTGTTCAGACTTCCTTCATACTTCCTATCCCAGAGTGTTGAGTAGACAATCTGGGTGGTGGTCAACAGCTGCTGGCTTCCACCCCGACACGGCTGCGTTTCATTAGTGGGTAAACTGATTGCTCGGAGCATGTTTATGTGTGGGTGTGGTTGTACAAGTCTATGCGCTCTGCACTATGTATGTAGATACAGATACACAAAAGTCATTATCTCGCTCTCAGCCCAACCTAAATTCATTCCTGCTGTGAGAGTTATAAATGGAAGGTTCCAGTCGCTTGGTGGATATGGCCTTTTGGTAATATCTGCCCTGAATTCTGGCTCCCCATCTTCTTTTTGTTTGTTTATATGTTATTTACCCTTGCATCAGAAAACTTCCTCAGACTCCGGGCCTGAGTCCCATTATCCAGACGCAGAACCCTCCTCTTCCTCTGCGGCCTAGAAAGCCCCAAATGGTTTTCTGATTTAGAAAATTAAATATAATCTGACTCTTGTGGCAAGCTACGAAATTCCCAACCAACAGACTCTCCCATTAAATATATAACGTATACAACATCTAAAAGTATCACCGATCTAGCATGAACTTGAATTATAGAGGCATTCAGTGCCCCTCGGGTAAGATCAACAGCTTCTTCCCAGGCACTCAGCATTGGGCAGTTTTCCAGTGGGCCATAAAGCTCCTAGGAATGCTGCCTGGCATGCATGTTTGAGTTTCTGTTGCTCTATAAAAGCAACTTAATCCAGGGAAGAGTACCTGAAAGAGATATCTTCCCTTTCTCTGTGTATGGCCTTCCCCCACATAGAATCATTGTATCACAGAGCACAAGTATCACCTCTATTTTATCTATGACATTTTAAAAATCTCAACATAAATTTCTTCCCAGGAATATTTTTTTACAGACATATCTTTTTTTTTTCTTTTGGCAAAAGCAAAATGAAACAGTGACAGTGAACACATGAGCCCTACTCAGACACTTTCTTCTGACCTCCAGTGATCAATCCTACTGAGACAAAATCTCTCAGGCTGGTGAGCTGTCAATTAGCTCTTTTCCTTCCATCTTCCCAGGCTCATTGGTTTGAGCCAAGGCTCCCCCATGGTTTTGGGCTGTAATAGCCGCATAGGTGCAGCCATAGATGACTGCCGCCAACATCATGAGACACACGATGCCACACACAACCCCAGTGATGATGATGGTGGCAATGGCATGACGCAGGTTGGCTGGCCTCGGCTTGGGTTTGAGCTCACATTCCAAGGAGTGTCGCTCTCCCAAGCTGTGGGTCTCCAGAGGCCTTGGGATTGCCTCGTGGGCAGAGCCGGGCTGCTGAGCCTGTGCGGACACCAGATCTGGAGAAGGAAGCGGGCAGGGCTGGTACAACTCATGAGGGATTTTAAGGAGGTCCTTTCCCTTCCATGTGTCTGGTGACCCACAGATGACACCATCCATTATTCCCCCTTTAAAAAACAAAAGCAAAGGATGATAATTGAGTTTCAAAATCATCAGCTTGCACAAACTCAGGCAGATGGAATTTATGAATCACCTTTTTTTTTTTTTTTTCCTGGAGTCAAAGAATTTAACAACCATATTTTATGATTTTAGGATTTCTAAATTGGCTAAATGATAAAAATGCCACACACTAAATTGGCAATTACTTATGACCAAGAATTCATTAGAAGCCAAGTTACCTTTACATTATATAAATGCTGAGGGGAAAACAAAAGCTGACAAGAAGGAAGGCTGGGGCCAGCACAGAGGTGCTGCTACCCACGGTATTCCTGCTTCTTGCTCCTAATGAGCCCCACCAGACAAGAAATCTTTTGTGCCAGATTCTCATTGCGACTCTAAAGCAAAATAAAACAAATGTCCATTGTTGTGATGCAACATGTTAATTGCAAAGACCCTAAGTTCTACCCACACTACACAGGGATGCCAAGTGCAGAGGTGGAGTGGTCTTTGAGTGTTTGTGCATCTGAGGATTTGACAGTACTATTAGTCTAGCTCCTGGGATTAAGTATAATTAACGTGTCTCCTTGGGCCTTGAAACATTTACTCTTTGAGTACTGAACTTTCCAATGGGTTATTAAAGCCACTTTCCATTCCCTGTAAGGCGATTGATTTCCTCTGGTGTGTAGACTACTATTGTTGAAGGGAGATTTGGTGCTCAGGAATTCTTTTCCAGAAAGAGCACTGGCCAATAGACATCATTCTAGCCTAGTTTGACACTGATTTACTGTGTGACTTTGGGAAAATAAAGTTCTCTGACTAAATTTTCTGCCAAAAAAACATTGTATCTGTATCTGACTTGAGAGTTTACAAAGCACTTTGAGACAAGTCCTGCACTATTATGGGTAATTCTTGTTTGAATCACACAGGTCCTGCATGGACGAATCAACACCCAGACTCAGGTCTCCTCTCAATCCCTGTTGTTCCCACTGCCCTCACTGCCTCTACTTCCTCCTCCGGAGTGTCTGGAGGTCAGGGGAATGGCCGATGGCCCTCAGCAGTGCCTGCACATAAAGCCCTTTGAGTGGGCAGAAGTTCCCCCATGATCTGTCTCAGTTGGCTGCCATAAACACCTCCCCCGGGATGGCTGCAAAGACTAGCACTACTCTTTGCAAAGTTAAATTAGAGATTCTTAGTGCACACGGTGGGTGAATTATGAGATTATACCAGAAAGACACACATGGAGAGCATCGCTTCAATGTCAGTGGCACCTTCTGTTTCATGCCACTTCAGAATTTTGGGAATGCTTTCCCATCAATTCTATCTAAGCCTCATAAGACAAGTCCTGAGTGGCCCTGTGAGTAGATAGGGCTGCTCTGCAGTGCAAGGGTTATCACATGGCCCAGAAACACCAGGGTTAGTGGTGATGGCAAAATTCAGCCCATGCCCTTTTTGCTGCTACTTTTTAAAACTGAATCACCCACGACCAGAGTTTCTTGGGACCCTCCTAGCTTCTTCAGCAATCCCTTGAAACAAGAGTCCCAATTCTAAAGCAAAAAGGTAAAAGGAATTTCTCCCTTTCCTGAGCCACTAATTTTCATGAGGCCAGAGGTGTGAGGTGGCTGCTGCAGATGAGCCCAAGGGGCCACGGAGCTGCACTGAGATAGAGGATCCTCTCCTCATGGGCCATTTCATTCCTCTGCACCCAGATGTTGCACTTGAACTCTGACATGAGAGAGCAACAGACTTTTATCGCATGTATAACTGAGTTCTGGGGTTGTCTGCTGTATCAATTAGCCTGCCCTGACTAATACCTTCAATGTTTACATTTGTTTATGTTTTCGTTTTTTTTTTTTTTT